TTTACTCTCCCTGTCTCAACCCCCAGCTCCTGTGGCCCTTGCTTCTGGGTTTCATTTCCAGCTAGTGCTGCCTTTTTTCTCGCCCTGGCGTTTCCAACTTCCCCACCGCAGTTGTGGAAGAGGAAAGAGGAACCCGGAGAACGGGTGGGTCCCTGCTTCCTCTTTAGCATGCACTCCTGCAGGAACTTCGGATTGGCCTTCGGACTTCTCCCGCTTCCTCGCTGCCTCACCCATTCACGGAGGGTCACCTCAACTCCCAGTGCGCTAGGACCGAACACTCGGACTCGGCGGGAGCGGGGCAGAGACCTGAAAGGCCCTCGACCCCTCCCCAGCCTTGTCTATCCCCTCCCGGGGCCCGCCCACTGGTTCCTCGGCCCCTGCCGACTAGCTCCGCCCCCCTGCACCCTTTGGTCCCATCCCTCCTGGCTCCGCCCCATCCACATCCATTGTTCCCGCCCTTACCCACTAGCCCTGCCCATACAAACTTTGCTCCGCCCCCGCCCCGCCCTGTACATAGCCCCACCCACCAGACCCACCCTCCTGACTCCGCTCCGCCCACTGCTCCTGCCCCTGCTCACTAGCCCCACCCCCTGCACTTCCTGCCCAATAGTCTTGGTCCTCCCGGCCCCGCCTAGCTGGCTCCCCTCCTTCCCGCCCACCGGCCGGGAGTAAACAGCGTGCACAACAGACGCTTGGGATGGGTTCGGCTGCGAGCTACGCTATGAACTGGTTCCCTGAACATTAGCCGCCACTGCAGCTGTGCTTGCCCAGCCGCTGGGTCCTTGCCCAACTGGCACTGGTACTCGCTGCTTCTCCAAGCTTGGCCTTTGTGGGGCCAGCGTGGGTTTATGTTGGTGTGTGGCTCTATCACACTTGTGCTCTGGGTGCCTTTGTCCAGCCCCCCTTCCGTGGCGTGGCCCATTTTGAGAGCACTCGGGGCCTGCCGCCCCTCATGGACTGGGATTACTCTTGTAGGATCAAACCCCACGACATGTCAGGGGACTCGAGGCTCTCGGCCACACTGGGCCAGGGGTGGTGCCCGGTTCCCTGCTCACCAGGGCCAGCTTTCACTTTGCTAGAAGGTCCCTGGGCTCTACTGGTGGCCACGGGTGGATCCTGGGACCCAGATGCTGTGGGCTCCCCACCTCCACCATCCCAGTTCAGTTCCCGGCTGATAGAGCAGGAAGAATGAGAGCCGGCAGATAAGGGAGGCAGTGAGGCCTTCACCAAAAGCCTAAACTGCGCTCTGCCTCAGTTTTCCACCTGTGAAGTGGGGGCATGGATTGTAGGGATCATATTCAGAATGTAAGCAATCATTGTGAACACCTGCTTCACGGCTTGGTGGTGGCCAGAGGCTGAAGTAAGGTGAGGTCATAGGCAGAGAGCGAACTGAAGGAAAAACTCCCACCTTGAGTACCGCTTGCAATGCCATTGCCCAGGGCTTCCTGACAGAGGAGGTTTTACTGTCTCTTAGCCTAAACACACTCCTTAGTGATTGCTGTTTTTTCCTAGAACCAAACTAAAACCAAACTCACTGCCGGAGATGACTGATAGCGACCCTTCCTTGGGTTTCTGAGGCGGTATCACTATGGAAGTAGATCACCCAATCTTCCTTCCGAGAAGTGGCTGGTGGGTTTGAACCACCAGCCTACTGGTTAGCAGTCAAGTACGCCACCAGAGCTCATGTGATGTAGAAAGTGAACTAAATTTTTTAATGAGGGGGAGCACATGTTACCAATTTGTACACTTAAAAAAAAAAAGACATCACACCTCACATTATAGGGAAGCCAGTTGCTGCCCACCCCCCCTTTTATCTGGTTTGCCTGATTGGGTAAAGGAGCTTATTTTAATTTTTCTCCATCTTAGCGTTTAAGATGCTGCTCTTGTGCTGGGACAAGTTTCAGCGAGTCCTAGCTGCGGTTTCAAGCATGGCTTTTCCCATCCCGCCCGAAGGAGGAGAATGCAGAACGGAATTTCAAATTCTCATGCACTCCACACTTGACCATGACCTTTGGCTGACCCCTGAAACGACTGATCTGAGACAACCTTTAAATTTTAAACCAAAAATATCCCTTGAGGTCTTCTTGAAACCAAGTAATAGTGTAGCTTAACTATTAAAAAAAATAATAAAAGCTCTGTGGTGAGCATTCTGCTCTTTGAAGAACTATGTCTATGGGATCAAATGGACAACAGCAACTCGAAAGATTAGATAGGAACCTGGGCAGTGAGCTTATTTTAATGTGGGAGGGACAACGCAGGAGAGGAGGGTGAGAATAGCTGTACAACACGCAGAATGGAATCAGTCACCAAATTGTATGTGTAGAAACTGTTGAATTAGTATATGTTTTGCCGTATATATTCTTAACAATAAATAAATAAAATTGAGGGAAAAACGGTTCAGACTGAGGCCCCTTCACCTTGAGAATCATTTTCTGATTCTCAGGGAATAAACAGTGTGCTTCCGTGGTTTCCTCCAGTGTGCCCATGACCCCTGGCATTCCAGTCTATTCCCATGGCAACGCTTCTGTTTGGACTCCACTGGCCTCTAATTCTTCAGCAGCTGCTGCAGGTAGGAGGTTTCAGGGCTTTGTTAAGGGTGCAGAGTACACTGTACTGGTTAATTTCTTTCCTTCTCTTACAGCTTCTGAGCTCATTCGCAAAGTTCTACTATCTGCACCTCAGCGGGCTCATGGTAAATGTTGGCAGCGGGTAGAAGCCAGCAAGAAAAAAAGGTATGAGGGCTTTAGTTCATAAAGAACCAGACACTAATACGTAAATGACATTCGATGGGCACTTTATCCCGCTTCACATCTCAGTTATTAATAATTTTGCTTGGATTATCACACAACTAGGAGCTCTGGTAGCATAGTGCCTAAGGCACTTGACTGCTCACCAGAAGGCTGGCGGTTCAAACCCACCAGCCACTCCTCGGAAGGAAGGTTGGGCAATCCTACTTCCGTAGTGATACTGCCTCGGAAACCCAAGGAGGGGTCGCTATGAGTCGGGGCCGACTCGAAGGCACATAACAACAACAACAATCACACAACTGCTATCCAAGCTGCTGATGTATGAAAAAGTGCTCGGGAGTTAGGAATCAACCGAGGGCCCACTAGGAGATGGGAGACATTGGCAAGTCTCTTGCCCTCTCTGGACCACACTTTCCTCTTCTGTAAGGAAGAGTTTAGACTACTTCAGTGGTTCCTACTCTCTTTGCCACCAAGGATGTTTTTTGTTCTTTGTCCTCTTGTGGACCCAATTCACTTATTTATCCAACAAACATCTATTGAGCACCCACTGTATACCATGTATACCCCCTTGTGGCACTTACAGTCTGTTGTAAAAGATTTCATCTGCCAAGTATACTTTGGTTTCAGTTTAGTAGTAATTTGTGTTTTCTCATGGTGTAACCAGGATTACCTCATGAATGTGATTACAATTAGTGTCAAAAATCAAAGGAAGGTGATGGCAGAGGTAGCTGTTGCCACCTTACAGAGAGTACATACACTCAAGTGTACACACACCATTAGATTTTTAAAAATACTGAAAATTGCTCAGAACCCCTTAGTACATGTGTAGATCCCTAAGGCTTCAAGGACCTCAGTGCGAGGTGATTAGCTACAGCGGAGATCAACGAACTTTGCCTGAAAAACCCATATAGTAACTATTTCAGGCTCGGCAGAGCATTGGTTTCTGTCACAACTACTCTCTGCTGCTGCTGTAGTGGGAAAGCTGCCACAGACCAAATGAAGGAGCATGGCTGTGTGCCAGCAACAGTGCATTTATGGACACACATTTGAATTCCATATGATTTTCATGTCATGAAATAGTTCTTCGATTTTTTCAACCATTTAAAAGTGTAAATGAAGTATGAATGATTATTCTTAGCTCATGGGCTATACAGAAGCAGCTGGCAGGTCATATGTATGTGGCCTGCTGGCCACAGTCTACTGACTCCAGAGCTCCATCAACTGTGACATTAGGTGGTTCTAATCCTGCCTCCTTGTACAGATGAAGCCCAGACTTCCTGCTACCCAGTCCATATCCTCTTCTATGCTCCAAGCTGCTGGTTTTGTCATGATTTCAGAGGAGGTCTTTGTGTCCATGCAGCGCAGAAAATAGATGTGTGATCAGCTGCCTAATCTAGGCATTTACCATGTAAGGCCAGCGCTCTTATTAGCAGCTAGTGGCAACCTAATTCTGTCAAGCCTGACCCTGGGCTTACGCACCCTTTTCGTTTAGCCCTCTCTCGGGTTGCCAAGGCCCAGCAGGCCCATCTGTCCGTACTATTTGAGTCCCTGCTGTCTCATTGGCAGCTTTCTGAGCAGCTGCAAAATATGTTTGTAACTTTAAGTGGAAGTTGGGGTCACTGGCATCGGGCCGGAACAGGCACTCTCGGCAAGGACTCCTTCACCTCTACCAGTCTCTAGTTTTAAGGACGAGGGTGAGTCTTACACCAACTCCTCCCCGTTGCCGTCCACGGCGGGTAATTATTCGTGAGAGTTTGCTAAAGGGCTGGGGGAATATAACGTGCATTTCTTTTTCGTGTTGTCGCTCTCGTCGGATCTGCTTAGTTGCCTAGCACCGCAGTCGCCTGTCTGGTCGTCCTTCACGCCTTGGCGGTCCTGGGCGCGTTCCAGCCTCAGCTTGGAGAGAGGGGCCGGGACGACGGGGACCAGAGCTGGTTGCGCGCGCTCGGGGGGCGGCGGCCGCGCCGCCAGCCCCAGGGGACCATGCTGCGCGGCAAGGCCCGACTCAATGTGGAATGGCTAGGCCACTCGCCGGGACTGCTCCTCGAGCGCAGGCCGCCCCTGGCAGGGCACACGCTGCGCCGCACCAGCCGGTAAGTCACGTGAGCGCCCGCGCCGGGCTTACGTCACTTCGCCGCGCCGCGCCGCGCCTGCGCCTTGGCCCCTCCGGCACTTCCGGGCGGCCCGGCCGCTCTGTCGCCCGCGAGCGCAGCGAGCGCGGCCAGCAACCCCTGCCGCTCAGCCGGCGCCGCAATGGAGCGCTTGGACAAAGCCGCGCTGAACGCCCTGCAGCCGCCCGACTTCAGGTACTCCGAGCGGGGCGTGGGGAGGCCGGCTGCGGCCCGGGGGCTCTCAGGGGAGCCGGCCGGGCCTGCGCTCGCGTTCGGGGGGCTGGGGCAGCAGGCTTGCTGCTAGCTCCCGCTTCCGCCGTGCGCTTCCTCCTGGTCGCTGTCTGAGGGCAGGAACCTGGGCTGCTTGACCGCCCCCTCCCTTGCAGGGCTTGCCCTGTGAGGGCGTGGTGACTGTTGGCTGGAGGAATGCACAGGTGGAAGGGAGGAGGGGCAGCCTCGGGTGGGAGACTGGTGCCCCTGGGGAGTCAGTAGGCGGCGGCTGAGAGAAGGAATGGGATGGGGAGCCGGTAGGCCAGGGGGTGGGCAGGGAGCTCGCCACCATTGACAGCACGGCCTCCTGCGTGTCTGGGTGCTTCGTTGCCGGTGATGATGTGGATACTCAGGAAAAGTAAGTCGCCGAAGATCACAGGCCACACGGTTGGCAAGTGGCAAAGCTGCCATTTGAGCAGGCCTGTGAGCTTCCCACCCCCTCACAATGCCAGTCTGGGCATTTTTCCTACTACTACAAGGGTGTTGTTAGGTGCCGTGGAGTCGGCTCCCACTCCTAGCGACAGTATGTACAACAGAACAAAACCCTGTCCAGTCCCGGGCCAGCCCCACAATCGTTGCTGTACCTGAGCCCATCGCTGCAGCCACATAGTCAGTCCATCTCGTTGAGGGCTTTCCTCTTATTCGTCGACTCTCCACTTTACCGAGCATGACAAACTTCCAACCACTTCTTATTATTATTGATAGCGTAGTACCTAAGGCACTTGACTGCTAACCAGAAGGCTGGCGGTTCAAACCCACCAGCCACTCCTTGGAAGAAAGGTTGGACAATCTACTTCCATAGTGATACCGCTTTGGAAACCCAAAGAGGGGTCTGCTATGAGTTGGATCTGACTCAATGGCACCTAACAACAATAACAAAGTTAGAACACACTCGCTCCACTGGACTGACTCTGGTGTTTCCTAATGGAATCCGCAGTGGGAACATACTTTCGAGTGGACGCCTTACTTGCCACAAAAGGGAGTGTGGTACGCTCTCTGCTCAGTGTTTGCTGTGGAAGCCACGGGAAGCGGGTGAACTTGAGGTGACACTGAGCGTGGGGGCACGTAAGCCTCAGCCTGAATGTTGTCCTTAGTGTGAGATATTGTTAATTCTGGCCCTTCCCAGTCCTCGTCTGTAAAGTGTCAGTGACACGGGATCGGAGATGCAGGGAGGAAATCAGTTCAGGGCATCAGGTGCTTTGTTTTGGAGTAAACCACCATTCCTGCCCAGGCTGCCTTGTGCCAGCAGTGGCAAGAGCTGCAGTGGGCTGGGACTGGAAACTGAGGTGAAAGTGTCCTATACAAGCTGGAGGATGTTTCCTGGTTTTCAGACATCGGTACATTGATGTTTGCCTTTCTACCTAGTCTCATATTTGTGAGGTTATAAACCAGAACAAGAAGCTCTGGTGGCGTAGTACCTAAGGCATTTGACTGCTAACCAGAAGGCTGGCGGTTCAAACCTACCAAGTGCTCCACAGAAGGAAGGTTGGAAACCCAAGGAGAGGTCTCTATGAGCTGGATCCAACCCGATGGCAGTGAGGTTTTTGGCAAGTGAGAGAAAAGGAGCTCAGCTGGTACAGTGGTTGAAACATTCGGCTGCTAACCAAAAGGTCAGTGGTTTGAACCCACCATCCACTCTGCAGGAGAAAGATAAGGTAGTTTGCTTCCGTAAAAATTTTCAGCTTTGGAAACTATAGAGGCTGTTGTACTCTGTCCTCTAGGGTCACTATGAGTTGGAATCCATTCGATGGCAATGGGTTTAATCCAGAAAAAGGCAGGAGCCCTGATGGCGTAATGATTAAGGTAACTGAAAGGTTAGTGTTTCAAACTCACCACTGGCTCCGAGAGAGGACAGACCAGGAGACCTGCTCCTGTAAACATTTGTTGTCACCGTGTGCCCCGTGGGGTTTTCCAGGCTGTGGTCTTTAGTGAAGTAGGTGGTTGTGGGTTCAAACCAGCCAGCCTTTTGGATAGCAGCCAGGCGCTTACCCACTGCAATACCAGGGCTCCTTCCACAACGATTACAGCCTAGGAAACCCTATGGGGCAGTTCTGCTCTGTCCTATAGGGTCAGAATCCACTCGATAGCACATACAGCAGCCACGAGCTAGAGAAACAGCCCAAGGTTTTGAAACTTAAGGTAAACACAGAAGTGAGAGGGAATTGGAAGAAAAGAGGCTGACTGTGTAGGGGCTAGAAATTAACACGCGGCAAAGCAGACTTGGCTGTTGGTAGTGGGATTGTGGTTCTGTTTACTGTGAAATCTTATATGATAATAAATCTTTTCCCAAAGGCCAGGCTGGTAAGAGAGAATGTAAAGAACAAGGAGCTGTGGTATACAGTGCCTAAGGCATTTGACTGCTAAGCAGAAGGCTGGTGGTTCAAACCCATAGCTAATTCTGCAGAAGGAAGATGGAGTAATCTACTTCTGTAAATTTACCGCCTCAGAAACCCAGTGGGGGTTGCTATGAGTCAGCATGGACTTGATGGCAGTGGGTAGTCTCAGGAACAGGATAACCAGTTAACTCTCCCTTTCTCTAGTTTTTCTAAACGTTGTCCCTTTATCTGAAATTTGGGTACCCGAAACATACCCTTTAATTCACCTTAGAAGCACAAAGGTCGTGTGCTTAACTGGGTGGCTCGTCAAAGCAGTGGCCACGTAGTGACTTTTTGTATGTTGTGTCGAATTGTTACTAGGCACACTCGGCATCTTCGTGAAGAGTGACGCGGTAAATTGCTGCAGCATTTTAGTGCTGGGGGCCCGCTGGGGTCTTGTGAAAGTGAGAGAGCTTGTGTTTACAAGGGTTGTATGATTTACTGACCACCAGAAAGCCATTGGGAAGTTCCAAAAGAAAAAGCTTGCATTTGAATTTAATTTGAATTTCATCCTTTTGAGTGCCTCTTTCTGTGTATGCTTCCCACGGTTGAGGACTGTGTCAGTAGTAGGTTAGGGTAGTGCAGACAGAGGGTGCCTTGGAAGGCAGGGCCTGGCAGTTACTTCTGGAAAAGCAGCCATTGAGAGTCCACGGGGCACTGTCCTGCTCAGACACATGTAGGGTTGCCTTGAGTCAGAATCGACTCGGTGGCAGCTGGTTTGGTTCTACAGGTGTGCACCACACAGCATCAGTACAGTCGACGCCTGATTGCGCATATGTCCGTGCTCCCGTAAGTTTATAATAGAGCTTAGAAATTCCAGTTGGCGAACAAGACCCAGTGGCCATACTTCACTGCATACTGTCAATCCTGTGTCTCTGGTCCTGTGTCCGTCTGGGCCCTGGGGCAGCAGGCGGCAGGGGCACCTGCGCCTCTCCGAAGCTGCTCCCTGCTTGAGAGCTGTGTGCCATGCCTAGCCCAAAGCGCGGCTCTCCCCGTGGGTGCTAGGGGCTGCTGGCAGCCTGGGCCGCAGTGGTGGGAGGAGGAGCAGGGGCAATGGAAGAGCTTAAGGGGCGGGGAGGGGGAGGCAAGCAGGGAGAAAGGGGGGGGAGGGAGCTTTTGGCGCGCCGTGGCTCTCAGAGACCAGGCAGCGACCACCACGCAGGATTGGCAGCGGTGGAGCCAGAATTTCCATGCAGTCCCTGGGTGTGGTGGCGAGTCCCAGGCCGATCCTGCATGCAGCTCTCCTCATAGAACACTGGGCATGCAGGGCTTTGAACTGGTTCACAACAACTTGGTAATTGCTGTTGTAAACAAGGCCTGCGCATGCGTTGCGTAGCAACCAGATCTGTTGCCCATGGAATTTTGACCCAAGTAGGAAACAGACAGCTGTGCCCCACGCAAGATGGCGGCAGACTGCGTGACTTTGAATTTGTGTTGCTCTCCAGATAGATGCCTGCCAGGAACCAGCCTCCTGCATCAGGCTCCTGGCACTTTGCGGATTTAGCTGCTATGCGGTGCATATGTGGCCCTTCTTTACAATGGCAGTAACTGAATTGAACCATTTTGAACTGGTTCCAAGCCCTGGATGTTCACACGGCATCCAAATCACAAAACGTCCTATTTCACTGACTGTACCATGGACAGTAAGCAGCGCATACCTGCCTTGGGGTATGTGCTCAAAAATGATTTTGTTTAGCAATGGATCAAAAGTTTTAACTGGGTCAAAAAAGTTGGAAGACCATTGATAAAACACTGAGGTATTCCCTTTTCTGGGCTGCCAGAAACCCCTCAGCCCATTGTATACCCAGTTTTAATAACTCTTTAGTGATGTGGCGGTTGCTAGTCAGAAGGTCAGTGTTTGAACCCACCAGCTGCTCCACGGAATAAAGATGAGGCAGTGTGCTTTCATAAAGATTGACAGCCTTGGAAACCCAGTGGGGGTCGCTGCAGTCAGCGTTGACCCGCGGCAGTGAGTGAGTGAGGGGCCCGGGTTTGCTGTGGGTGCAGACAGCTGCACGGGACTGTCTCGGAAGCACACTGCTCTGTTAGCGTTGTAATAACTGGTGTGAACTAGATGTGCTTGGATCCCAGAGCAGAGGAGAGTTTAGTCTGTCTAGCTACCTGAGGAAAGGTACATGGAAGAGGCTATTTTTCTTCTGTTCCTTGGAGGCTGGGCTGCCTCCTTCCTAAAGGTACAGGTAAAAACTTCAGTGGTACCTCAAGCTGAGGATCACCAGAAAGAGAAGACTGTATTTTTTTTTTAAAATTGTGATTTGGGTGAAGTGAAAATTTACAGAGCAAATTCACTTTCCATACAGCAGTTCACATACACTCTGTCTCCTGACATTGACTACAATTTACCCCAATGCAGCAGCTCCCCTCCCACTTCCTCCTGATAGTTAGCCTCTTCCCTGTATCCATCCCTCCATGCACCCCTGCCCCCTGAGCTGTCTCCCTGTGCATTAACAGCCCTTCTTTCTCCCATGATTGTTCTCTCCAACGAGTGTATCTACCTCAGGGAAATGTTCACCTCCTATGTTTGTCTTCTGTTTGGCTGGAAGCCACAGGTGTGGGTTCAATTCCAGACCTGAAGTGCATCTAGGGGCCATAGTCTCAGGGGTTCCACAAAGCTCTATCAGACCAGCAAACCTGGTCCCCCCCCCTTTTTTTTAGACGGTATTTTTTGCAAAAAGCATACCCTGATAAGTAACGCACACATGCGTGCACACACACAGCATGGTCGTGACGAAATTATGTAAAAGATAAAGTTCTGAGATAGCACACCCATGCGTATGCTGTGCATGTCTCATGACGTTTCCAGAAATGAATTTTGACCTCATTCACCCTCATTCACTAGTCCGAAAATGCGCATTGTGATCATATTTGTATAATAAAGGTGTAAGCCATGGTCAGGAAGCCATGGATTGAGTTTGGTAGTACCCCAGTAATCACAAAATCTAACAATTGAAGCTGAGTTTGCTTCTGTTCGATTAAGTTGATAATTATGTCCCTGTTGCTTTTGATCCTACTGAAGCCTGTCCATAAATCACGTGCTGTCACTTGAAGCATAGAGAAAGCAAAATGTGGACTGGCGTCAGTGCATCAAGTAGCTGTCAGTAGGATTCTCAGTTCAGTCTGCGTTGACATAATTACCACCGCTGTCTCTGACTCTGGCTTTTAATTGGAGGAGTAAACAAAGCAAAAGTGATAAATAATCACTCTTGGCTTCAACAGTTGGAAACCTCATCAGATCATCTTAAGTGAAACTATAAGCTGTGTGAGGTCTGCTTATTTCGTAGTCTGATTAGGACTTTGTGTGTGTGTGTTGTGTGTGTGTGTGTGTGAATTGGGTGAACACTTACAGAGCGAATTGGTTTTCCATTCAACACTTTATGCACATCCTGTTTCGTGACGTTCATTGCAATTCCCACAGTGTAACAACTCTTCCCACTTCCTCCCTGTGGTTACCATTTCCCTTCATGTTTCTTTCCTACCCCTTCCTGCCTTCTGAGCTTGATCCCTAAGCAAATGCTACCTTTTGATCTCATATGATCGATTGTTCTAATGAGTGCATACCTTCCTGGTGTTACTGTTCACCTTATAGGACTGTCTGTCGTTTGGCTGAAAGTTGGGCCACTTATTACCATCAATGTCTTTGATCACTGGTGGTCAGTCACCTTAGTCATGTACTTGTGAGTATATAAAAGACCCTTGGTTCTTGTATACCTCACATTTAAATTTTGTGAGGATTTCCTAGAACCAGCCTGTTATCCATTATATGATGCACATTTTTTCAGGTTATAGATTTAAATCTTTGAACCCTTTAGGATCATGTCAAGAATTAAATGCAAGTCTTACACCATCAACTTCAAACTGAAAGTCATTTTAAGGGCAGAAGAAACAGGCAACAGAGCAGCAGTGAGAGAGTTCAAGGTCGGAGAGTTGTCCATTCATGAATGAGATAGGAGAAAAGAGAGGTGGAGAAAATGAGTCCCATGAAAATACATGTGTCTTGAGCCAAAAGGGAAATGTCCGGAGTTGGAGAATGACTTGAAAGAGTGGGTTATTTCTCGAAGGGAACGAAATCAAGCTGTCTCCACTGTCCCAACAGAGATCGAAGTGAAGCTTCTGGCAAATGAAAGAAGACCCCCAGATTTCAAAGCAGGGTTCACCTGGATTTCTAAATTCATGGAAGGGCATGGCCCTTTCACTGGAATGAGAACCACTGGAAGCCAGTGACTTCAGGTGACTGGGAGCAAAAGAGAGTCAATTTCTGCAAATTCATCACCAAAGAAATCTCTGAACTTGTATCTCTGCAAAGGATGTAATTAAGATGGATAAGGTCTGATGCCTTTTGACACTCCAGCCACGAGAACTTTAGCTACTTCAAGAATGAAAACCGTAGCCATTACAACCACTGGGCCTGAAACGGTTTGCTTCACTGTAGTCCTTGGTTGCGCTGTGAATAGGGTAAAAGCAAAGCCGAGGGTGATTTTCAAGAGATTTACCATGCCCCATAAAAAACTGCCCACCAGTGTGTTGTCATTGTCATAAAAGAGGTGGATGGATGTTGATGTTAGGAAAGTGTGAGTAGATACATGTTTTAAGGCCAGGCCGATGGGGGAGAGGGGTTCTTTTTGAAGAAGTCGTTTCTAATTTTTGATGCCATGCCTGCTCACAAAGAAAAAAAGTTCAAAATGACAAGCTGATGCCCATATAGTAGTCATACCTTGTGACCTTACCTATAAGCTGCAGCTACTAGATACAGTGGTCAGCCGCTCAGTCGTGATGTTCGTGAGGAGCGAGTGGGATGAATGAAAGCAGTCTGGGACTCATGAGTTCACACCATCAGGATGACTGAAGCAGGTGACGTTTACAGAAGTCTGCTTCGGGGAAAATAACCCCGGGACCGTCTGTAATAGCTTCAGAAAGGCTGGGATTGTGTGCCAGCAGAAGACCCGTGGCGAAGGTGAAGACACCGCAAGTAGTGATGATAATGACTTCAGTTCACAAGTCACAGAAGAGCAGTTGCAGGCAGCTCTGAGATGTTTCAGTGATGGCAGTGAAGAGGGCCGGGACTTTGAAGGGTTCCAGGACTCAGGTGATGGTGGTAATGAATGAATACACCGAAGTGGCACACTTCAAGGTGAAAAGACAGTTTCTTCTGATGATGACTATTTGTTGATTTCAAAGACATTGATGATCAAAAATGGTGTTTCAGTTTAAGATTTATGAAAGCAGTAAAGTATAAACCATATCTTGTTCTTGTAGTTTCAGGCCCAGGATCATTTCTTACTCATTTCCAGCTCTTCGTTCACTGCTGCTCTTTGATTTCAACACGGTGTCCCATCTCATCACAAGCCTGTTCAGTTCACCATTGGTTACACTTGGTTTAGGGAAATATGTACCTTAAATAAAGTCACTATGAGATTAGATTTACTCTGGTAACTTTAAAGCCATTAGACAGAAAAACAAAATCGAAATGGAAGTCAGCACTGTTTTAAAAACTATTGGTATAGTGCACTCGCGAAGATAACCCGTGGGGCTGTCTGATTTCCCAAGATGTTAAATGTGTGCATTATTTCCATAAATACACAGGAAGTTCAAGGGTTAACCATGGGGATACAAGTAGAAGTGTGTTAAGGTAGTCTGAGGCTGCTTCCTTTGTTTTCTTTCAAAGGGGCCTTCAACTGAATGGATGAAGCTCTGGGGCTCGCTGCTTCTCTCGTGAGAGGCAGCAGCCTGCGTCCACGGCGGCTGGCAGCTCTCTCCAGTTTCGCTGTCAGCCGTGGTGCTCGTAGCAGTTTCTGGGAGCAGCTGCCGGCCAGCCGATGGACGGAGGTAGTGAGGAGGCAGTGAAGACATGGAGGAACATTTTGGAAGTGGGATAAATACCTTTGTTTTACTGTTTTCTCTAGAGTCCGCTATCATTTGCACATTTTTAAGCATAATTAGGACAGTGCATCGGGTCAGCACGGTTTTTCTGTGAAGGGCCAGGTGGCCTGGCGGCTCCTCAGTCCTGCCTTTGAATCATCCTCACAGTTATTTGTAATATCTCCGTCTGTTGATGGACCGAACGTAAAACATCATTTTCCTGTTGAACATTTTTACGTTATCCAATTTTTGCTTTGCACTTTTAGATTGATGTTTACATTGCTAATGCTTTAAGTAGCAATTTGTCAGACATCTGTTTCATTCTTTTAAGGAATTTTAGAAGCTTTTTTGCATTCTTAGGAGTATTATTGCCGCATTTAGGGACACAATTTTTCCATTGGAATATTTGTTGGATTTTAAGATAGTGTGCAGACAGACAGAAGTCACGGACTAGCAGATGCTGTTACATCAGACCTGTAGTGCACCGTTTGGCTGGGCGCGGCTGGAACGGGCCTGCAGCCACCACTCGTGGGGGCGCTTATGTCCCTTGGCTGCGGCAGACTTTGCAGCCGCTTTTCCGTGGGAGACTCTCATGTCTCGCGGGCCCCGTGTCCAGCCTGGTTGACGGGATGCTTTAAGAACGTCTGTTAGTGGTTTTCAGTGTATCCACTCCCTCGCCTCCGGGCTGGTCCAGTCGGTAATTAGGGTTTCGGCATTGTGTAGTGCTTTGGAGATTGGGACCGCCGTCATACTCCCTTGCTCACTGCATCTTAATGGCAGTCTCTTGGAGGTGAGGTGGCGGTTGGATCTCCAGTCAGAGCCCGTGGCTCCCTGCGGGCCGCTTAGGAACGGGGCCAGCAGATGCTGATTTTCTTTGTCTCATTTATTCCAGGAGTGAAAGTTCATTAGCATCTACCCTGAAGACGCTCCTGTTCTTCACAGCCTTGATGATCACCGTTCCTATCGGGTTATATTTCACGACTAAATCGTACATATTTGAAGGTAATCTGAGACACATATCATGAGACATTTTCCCCTCCATGTATTTATTCAAGATCTCACGCTTTTATGACCTCTTTATAGCTGCAAACTGGGCAGTCGCTTTTGCTTTTCCAAAAATCCTGCTCAGAGTCTTACTTTGGGATATGTACCCTTATTTGCAGTTTTTTTTCAGCTTGACATCTTACTTGCTTATGAGTTTCTGTCACATTGCTTGCAGATCCTTGTCCCTTTGAAAGCCTGTCACCGAGGGCTCGCACTCAGCTGTGATGCTGAGCGAGTTTCTGAGCTTAGAGACTGAGATGGCCTAGGAAGGAAGGCCTGCTGACGTGCGTCCCGAAATTGACCCACGTCTACCCGGCCCGCAGCCGGGCGGGGGCCGGTGCAGGGCCGAGCACCAGTTAACGGCCCACGTCTGGCCAGCCCACATCTGCCCGGCCCACAGCCGGTCAGGGGCCGGTGCAGGGCTGAGCCCGGTTAGCTCCCTTGTGCATGGCTCCCAGGGCAGGGGGGAAATTGGCTCAGCAGCAGCTGACAGTATGGCCGTCCCCTTTGGTGGCAGCCGTGGGAAGGAAGAGAAAATGAAGTTCTCCTTTTGATGTTGGAGTCTCTAGATGGAGTTGGTTTTCTTTCAGAACTGTCTTCTTGGCGGGTGGCATCGCAGGTCCTGGATTCGCGCCCTCCCTGTGTGGTTTCAGAACCGCCTGGCGAGGTCAGTGTCGGGAGCTGCTGTGGCTCGGCCCGGCCCCCGGCAGCCCCGCGTGTTACAGAGTAGACCCGGCCGCAGGGTGTTACTGGCCGTCGACTCTGCAGAAGCCTGTCGGCAGGGCTTTGTTCCGCACAGTTGCTGGGCACCTTCAGACCACCTCCCTCGAGGGTAGCAGCAGCTCGCAAACCGCTGGTACCACCCAGGTCCTGAGGAGGCAAATCCGTGGCTAATGAAAGGCAGCGTGCTTTGGTGTTTGTATTTTGTAAACTTGGGGAATCAATTGGAAACCTTTTTGTCTTGTAGGCGCCTTGGGCATGTCCAGTCGGGACAGCTACTTCTACGCAGCCATCGTGGCAGTGGTTGCCGTGCACGTGGTGCTGGCCCTCTTTCTGTACGTGGCGTGGAATGAAGGCTCGCGACAGTGGCGGGAAGGCAAACAGGATTAACGAGAACACCACCGTTTGATGGCATTCACTCTGTTTTTCTAAAAATGCAAATGCTTCTGAGGGCAGTGATGATTATGATAAATTGAAAGAACACGTTGAAATAAATCTTAAGGAGTCACGTTTGACTAGTGTCAATGTCGGTCCTTCTCATATGTGGTTTGTGCACACAGTTTTAATGCCACAAGCCTCTCATTTGCAGAAGAGGCTCTGGAAAAGTTTAGTTCCACGCAGCTCTGGGGAGAATTGCACTACCTTACAAGCAAACATGTCTGTCACTGTCTTGTCTTGTGGTTGGGTTTGCGTGGTACTCTTCTGCATATGTGATGGTTGACACCAATGAGTAAATGGAGGCTTTGATGCTGGAACATGTGTCCTAACTCTTGACAACACCAGGGCATTGAAGTTTCTTTTTCTTTTATAGCTCTCTTCCCATTTCCCCTCTCTGGTTACGCCTTTCCTGTGTGCTGTGGAGTTTTTATTTTAAATTTCCTCTGAAAAGTTGTTTCAATTGTAGACACTGGAGTTAATCCCAGTGCCACTGAGGAATTCTGCATAAAGTATAATTCCCAGTCGGTGGGGTTCTATTTTTTTTTTTACATTATTTTCTAGGAAAACTAGGATATATCAGCCCATTCATGGTAAAAGGACTTTGCTTTACTGAAGGCTGCAGAGAACGAAGCAGGTCGTAGCCCATCCTTGAGATATTTTCCTGAGTCTAGGTTTTTCAGCCATTTGGCGCCACCTGTGTGTAATCTCCCAACAAGCCGCCTAAATGTGTTTTCTGTCATAATCTGTGTTTACTGTGGAAAATGGGAAAGCGCATGTAATGTTAAGACAATTTGAATTTCCCTTAATTTGGCCACTTGAAAATGACTGCTGTTTTGCTTTGTACCCTATGTGCAATTTTGAGAGCCATTCCTTCATGCTAGTTCAGCGCTAGTAAAATACATGCTACCTTTACTCTTTTAACTGGACATCTCATTGTTCAAACTTTATGCCTTTGCTCATCCCAACACAATGGCCCTTGCTTAAGTGTTGGCCATTACCCATGCATTTGTTCACCCTTACCATTTATTCTGTTGCAGAACTGGACTAAAGAAATTGAGAAACGCTTAGGCAGAAGAGTCAAGTAGGCATTTGTGTTTATGTAATTGTTGAGAAAAATTAGAGATGAGTATGATGATGATTGTAGGACTTTTATAGTTAAGTGGTGTCTACAGTTTAAATGTCTTTAAGTAGTTACTCTCAATGTAACGTGTTTGACAAAGTCTACAATTTCAGTATAATGATGTTTGAGTGTTTGCTTGATTTCTAGACAGTCCCCTCTTTAGATGCCCTGTCATACTTAAAAGTGTTGTCCTCAATTTTTTTTTTTAATACAATGCCACAATTTGTCTTGTACTTTGGGGAGCTTCACTGTCACATGTTAATGTCCAGTGCTAGATTATTTTGTTTGGTTTCAGACATTTGCCATGTAGATCATGATGGGGTGTTTTTTTTCTGTGAGTATTTAGAGTTGTTTCCTTTTGGTAATAATTACCAACTATCTTAAAGTTAGACTTGGTGTCAGGTTGACACTTGGCATTATTACAAATTAGGCTTGTTTCCCAACCAGTTAGTTTTTCCCTAGAGATTGAATGTTTACTCACCAGTTTGCTGCTTTCTTAACTATATGAAATAACGTGGTATTTAACAAATAGATTTATTTTTCAAGATGTTTCACTTGTTTCCTCTTGAACGGTGTATATGCTCCGTGAAATATAAAAAGGAAGGCTATAATTTGAGCCCTTATAAATGTTTTAAGTGAGGAGTATGTTCACTGTTGTTTGAAAATCGATAGTAAGGGATAACCAGAATTGGGAAGCGCACCTTAGATTGTCAGTCCCGGCTGTGACAGTGCTCTCCTCACCTCCTGCTGTGCTGCAGACGGAGCCACGTGCACCTGGGGTCTTCAGCGCTGTTGATGGCCCGCGGTTTCCACGCGCTAGTAGAATTCAGTGCTGAGTTGTTACTGAGGAAATTTAAACCTCTGTAAAAAAAAACCACAAACCTTTGTAGTGGGTCACGGGAATCTAACAGAAATGCATAGGAAGGATGAACACGGGGAACTTGGCGTCATCAGAAGCTCCCCAGCTTGGCCAAAGGTGACTTGTTTGGTGTTTATTTTCCATTTCCATATAAATTTATAGCTACGGCTAGTGTGCCCAAGGAGGCCAGTAGAAACAATTAAACAGATGAGGTGTACCCAAAGAAAGATTAAGGGGAAGGTGCACCAAGCAAAGGATTTCTCCCCTGTTTGAAACTTGCCATGTGGGTATTTCTAGTCTTCAGACAAGGTAGTGTTCATGGTGTCACGCTCAAGTGAAGCTGTGGACTTGCTGGGGCCATTTGATGGAGCTCGGGTTTGGCCCTGGTCTTAGGCCAGCAGCAGGGTTCTCGGCTGTCCAGTGCTCTGTGTAGTCCACGAGACTAGTACAGCTTTCTAAATTCAGGCTTGACTCCTAAGTTGAGACCGTTTTCCGGTCACTAGGCTGAAGCAGCTCGTTAGGAACTTGCTGCAAAGGAAGACAGGGTCAGCTTTGTTTGCAGAGATTTGGGGAATCTCAAGATGAATGTTCCGTGTGGTCTAGAAATGGCTTCGTCCTTTCTACAGTCATCCAGATAGTCTGCAATTCCTTGCCTGGCTTGTCGCTATGTGTACTTGAAGTAGTTCCTGCGTCCTTTGGAAGATGTTCGAGAAGTCATGTTTGTCAGTTACGCAGACTAGTCTTCCTTTTTCCCAAGTGAGTTCAGTGCAGTCTCACTGAACAGTAAGCACGCTAACAACATCCGCACAGCACCTTACAGTTTGCAAAGAACTTGCATGCATCCTCTGGCGAGTTTTGCAAGTGAACCTGTTCCGAGACGTCTCGACATCGATGCAAACAATGTTAGCGGTTTGCCGTGGCTCGGGTCCTTGAGTAGGCTGTGTAGTCTGAATAGGACCCTGATTGGGGGGATTTAGATGTGCTGCATTTAAAGCCATGTGTAATTAGCAACATGGGGCTTGAATTCTTAGCCACTTGAATCCGACTTACCTTTGTAAATGATGCTTTTCTAACCATTATCTGAGTGGATTTTGTATTCATTCTCTTCCAGCCTGTAATTTGTATAAATTTGCCATCTGGTGTCATTAAAGACAAGTGTTCGTGATACCACTTTGATGTGTCCTGATTCAAGGAGGAACAAGGTTTTTGAACAGCTCTCTTCACATTTGTTGTGTCTCTGTTCATCCTGTGTAGAGTAGGCACCGTGCCGCCAGGTAGGAACTTAGACGTGGCCCACGTACACGACTTGCTCAGAGCGGTTGGGGTATTGGTGAGGGAGGTGGGGGGAGCTGAGACCCAAGGACCGGTCACTGTCCGTCTCGGGTGGGCCTGTCACAGTCGGTGTGCCAGTGGAGGCCTGCATGTGCAGCTGGAAAATAAAGCAGCTGGAAAACGAAATCATGGTGGGTGAGGGGCTGTGCGCCGCGGAGAGGCTTTAGACACTGCAAAGCAGTGCCGGAGGTGGATGTTGATTGCACTCCAGCTCCGTTCTGTGCTGCCCAGGCCTCCAGAGTCCTTACATACGACCCCCTTCTAACAGGAAAATACTGGGTTACAGATCCCAAGATGTCCACGGACCTCAGGGGCAGTTAATGAGTGCTCTACGTGTTTCGCTAATGCTCCCAAAGCCTGGCAGATAGAAGGCACTGCTAGCTATGCTTTCAAAATACACATATGTAAGCACTTGTAACAGGAGTTTAAGAATGGACACGTCTCTACCCTTGTGAGGTTCTCTAATATTAACTACCTTAACTACCATAATTTGACACAAATAACACACCGTATAGTTTCTTTGCAAATCATGCAACCCCTTTTGGGTTGGGTTCTTTTTTTTTTTTTTTTATTAGGATTTGGGTGAAGATTTACAGAGTACATTCACTTTTCATACAGCAGTTCACATATACTTTGTCTCATGTCATTGACCAAAATTTACAATGCAGCAGCTCCCCTCCCACTTCCTCCCCATAGTTACCTCCTCCCAGTGTCCATCCCTTCATACTCTTCTGCATTGGGTTGGGTTCTTATGAATGGGTTGGTTCTTATGAATTGGGTTCTTACGGGTATGGTGTGTGAAAAAATATGGTATAAGCTATTAGAAATTTAGGACATTGCTGAATTTAGACACCGAAACTAAGAAGTATGTGAAGAATGTGGTCAACAGCCTTTAAGTCAGAGCGCCAGACTGGTTCAAACCAGTTTAGTCATGGATGACGAAGCAAACTCAGAATAGACCCCGAGTTTTAAAATAAGGGTGAAGCAGAACAATACCAGGGAGAAAGGCAGGTGGGAGCCCTGGAATGGGAGACTCCAAAGTGGATTGCTGAAACTATCAGACTGCTCCTTGCAAGCTGGCCCAACGCGCTGTGTTGTGTCTTCTATGCCTAAATGTTAGAGTTCTAAAAGATCTCAAATGAAAATGGTAGCACATTGTTATAATAAATATTTTAATAAAGGTTGAAAGGCTGATCAACTTAAATCTGTTTGTATAGTTCAACTTAAATCTGTTTTTATAAGTCATCTTCATTTTGGTCACTTCTTCCCATTACAGGTAATAAGAATCATTTTGTAAAATCTGAAGTCGAAAACGAAATATGTGACTCACGAATGTCCAATGCCTGGGAAGCACATGGGTGAAGGAAGACCTGGTCCCATCTTGCCCCCAAAAGTGTGATCTTGGACCAGTCATTTCCCTTCCTGAATGTCAGTTTCTTCTAAGGAGAGTGGCTGAGATGCTTTCCAAAGTTCTTGCAGCTAGGCTCTCTGTATTTGCTGTGAATTTCATGTCACTTACTACTGTGGTGTAGTCAACACACAGATAGCTGAGCCTGTGGAGCGCCTCACGGTGAATTTAATATTATCTTGAGAATTTTCCCCATTTCTTGTCTGCCCTGAACTGAAGAGCTTT